ACACGCACTCAAGCATGCATGCACGCAAAAGACTTCCACAAAGCAATATACTTCCTGCCACACTGTTCAATCAAATGTTTTACGGACAAATGTATGACCACGCTGACTTTCACTTCTCACCAGGGTTTTCTGATAACCTCTGAAAACTCTGCTTTTGTGGTTTTAGTGTCACTTTTCATTCATCTCTTTGAACTATAATCACTTCAAAATTGCAGTTTTTAACTGGGAGTGGGGGCTGGTGGCCAAAACAGGAAATCTCACATATAAATCTGAAAAGCACTGCAAGGATGCAAGAGACTCAGGAAAATTCAGAATGTGACAATACTGATGACTGTGAGAGAGTGTCACCCTCACAGGTGCAGCAGCAACGCAAGCTAAATCTTAACAGAACAGTGAAAAGTCAACATGCCTCTGTGGGAGAGTGTATTCTCCACAGAGCAGCAATCATCTCTCCTATCCCACATGTTCTGCTGCACTGTGACCTTGTGATTCATGCCAGAAAGAGGACTCGAATTCTCTTCCATTTGTACCTGGCGTGGCTTAGTGACTTGTTTGACCAACAGATTTACTGAAGTAATAGTCTGAAACTTCCAAAGGTAGGTCACAAGAGGCCCTTAAACTTCCATCTGGGCCCTTTGGAACACACTCGCCCGAAATCCCGTCACCATGCTGCGAGGAAACACCTGGGGACGCCACAGGTGGGAGGGCTGGTGGGCACCTGGCTGCACTCCCAGCAAAGCCGCCACTGACTCTCATCCTTGAGGGTGAAGCTTCCTGGACATCCAAGTCAGGCAGGCTCGCAGATGTCAGCGGCCTAGCGAAACTCAGTTAAACGGCAGCACTGTGTTTTAAACCATCAAGTTTTGGAGTGGTTGGTTGTACAGCAGGAGATAACTAGAACACCCTCCCAGTTCTCCTTCCCAATTGATATGTTAGTGGAATTTCAGTGAGATCCTATGCCCATATATCCAGTCACAATTACATTTCTTTCTCCCTGCCATTGGTGGCATGATAAAAATAATTTGCTTTGGTTCCCCACCCCCCATCAACAGTATTTAGAAAGGATCCTACTGTCCTGCCTTACTCTTTAACAGTGTTAGTCCCTCATCTTTCAAAGCTTTAACTTACTTATTTACTCGACTACAGTGATTGTCAATCTGCTAAAACACTCTTTTGTGCGGGTGTCTAAAGTTTATAGACAGGTCACATTTCTAGGTGATACTTTTGCCTTCTTGTACCTGCAATTGTTTGTGCATTTTAAATTTAGCAGATATTGAAAAATTTCTCCCTGTCCTCCCCACCAAAAGAAGGTTGTACTAACTTATTCTTTCATCAGCCAGATTTAACATAACTGTTTTCCTATATTCTTACAAACAGCACATAGTCAAAGTTTGAAAAGTTGTTTACTCTGGATTATTATCCATATTGTAGATTTTATTATTGGGGAGGAAAATGACTTTAGATAAGCTCAGGTCTTTAAAGAACATAGGTCTGAAAACTTGATTAAAAGCCTTGATTCTCCATAATACCAGTCAGATTTTTGGCTACCAGATCTAGAGTTTTTACAGTTGTATCAATCAAGTAATATTTCAGTAGGACACTTATTTATTTCATTCCAAGGGACATGATGTTCAATGTTCAACTAGTGGTAATCAAAGTTGAGTGCTTTCACTTGAACTCTACTAGTCTGAAATGCATAGCATCTCCACGAAAATCAGAAACACTTTTGATTGACAACATCTTTTGACATCATACCTGACCTGAGAAGACAGTCATCAGGAAGCTCTTCAAGGATCCTGGTGCTCCCTGCATTAATGCATGTCTCGATGCCTAAAGGGTGGTATATAGTCATGAAGAATCTACCCCCATAATTCCATTCCCTGAAGCCTTTGACTTCTTCTACATTCTATCAGAGAAGTAAGTTCTTTGTCATCCTCATTGAACATAGACCTCTGTTGAGCTCAGGTTTCAGTCCACCAATCAATTACACTATTAAAGCTATTTCCAGGTATTAAAATTAATGATTAAAAAAGATAAATTCATGCCATTCACAGCAATACAGATGGAGCTTGAAGGGATCACGCTCAATGAAATAAACCAGAAGGGAAAAGAAAAATATCGAATGGTTTCCTTATAGGAGGAATATAGGGGGACCAGGAGAAACAAAAACAACAATAATAGTAATAAAACAAAGGTAGCAGGCAACCATAAATAAGAGACATTCTGTGAGGGAGGGGAGGAAAAGGGATCAAAACAGGGAGAGAAGAGAACAAGGGAGTGTGGTGATGGCTCACAGGTGAACTGGTGGTGGGGTTTTACGAGGGCTACAGAATGATGTGAAAGATATAAATAAAAAACAAATTATAAAAAAATTAACATTACATGCAGAGTATCTGGTAAATGCACCCCTCTCCCATTCTCCTTTGTCTAACATCCTTAGGATTAGTTTCTATATATATTCTCTAGGTTTCTACTGATATAAATTTTGAAAATATTATATTTTGTTTGGAAAGCAAGCAATTTTCTTAAGTCAGAACCTCATAGTCAGCACCTACAGAATCCTGAAATCTGTCCCACTGTGGCTAGAACTGCAAGTGGAACTGTTACTGCCAGGGTGAAATGCTTGCTAATGGAGAGGCCATGACCGGCATAGGAGGTGGTGGCGGTAGTCATTGCTGTCTCTGCTTCCCTCCTTGTGATCTCTCTTCAGTGCCCTCTATTTCCACAGCCTAATACAGACCCACCTGGTAAAGGGAAAATGTACTTTATGGTCTCAGTCAAAGTAAACTGTCAGCAGTGGATTTGGAGTTTATTCACAAACACATCATGAGTAGCATAGATGATTTATTTATTTATTTTTTTACTGTAATCTGGTCGTTAAAAAGATGAATTGACTCCAGGTATATTCAGTATCTAGAATTGTGCGTGGTGCAAAGCAAGAGTTCAAATATCTTAACATATTTTGCCCCTGGCTTTTAGACAAGTACATAGGTTTTTCTTCTTCATCCTATTCTTCTTTCATGCACCTGAATGCGATATATTACCTTGTCAATACAAGGTAATTGTAATTGTATACAAGTTGACTTTTGTATGTTGAACTGTCCTTACATTCCAGGGGGAATAAATCTCACTTGGTCAGGGCACAAAATGCTTTTGACAGACTGTTGAACTTGGTTTGCTAGTTTTTTTTAAAAAATTGTAACTTACCATTTAGACAGTGTTGAAGCTTTTGAATGGAGATGCTGAATCAAGGTGACTTTGAAAGCATAACTGGAGAATTTCCTAATCTGTCTGTTCTGAAAGTCATTCCAGTTTTATATTCACATGCTGTTTCTAGGAAGGTGATCTCTGTCTTGTTCCTCAGTGTTGCTAGTTATTCTCTAAATTGCAAGGGCACGCAGCTGAAGACAAATAGGAAAAATAAACTGAGTGATCTGGAAGAATGACTTGAGAACGTAATCCCTTCTAAAAGCCGGGGACTGTCTCAAACTCTAACTTGGGAGGTTAAGAGTCTAAAGAGAATGTCAGGCTGGCTGATCGGAATTTTTATGATGAAAGGGAAAAGTCGACTCCCCAGTCTCTCTGCTCTAGCTCAGTGGGAAAAGGGCGCATTGCATCTGCTGCAAAACCACACCACTCTGGGTGCACCGGGACACAGCTGGGGAGGTCCCTGCAAGGCCACCTGCTGGCTTTCCCTGGCTTGGCAGAGAAGGTGGAGAGCAGTGACCCTTCTTCTACCAAGCTTGTCTTATAGCAGAGACATACATTTTGGTGGGAAAGAAGAAAACCTCCCGATCTCCTGGGAGCCCTTGGGATTGACGAGGAGTAGGGTTTCCAAAGATGGGTGACCGAAAGCTCTTCCTGGCACGGGCTCTCTGTCAGCACTTTGGTCCTATTGGTTTGAATTAGGGACTTGGATTTTGTCTTTTTAAAAGTGGTTGGGGTGATTTTTTATCATCAGGAGAGTCTGATAAGCCCTTGCTAGAGTGAGAAGGCTGACTTTTTCCAGTTAATTCTGCAAAAGGAGCTGCTGTGATATTTCTGCAGACACCGTGTGTCTGGGAGAGGCAGAGGGTTAGAGTTACTGTCCTGTGGAGGAAATTCGTGGGGCTGTTTTGAAGTTGTATAGTCATGAAGGACAGATAATGTAACAGAAGATCAACTTTTCTTCTCTAACTCACCTTATGTTTGGTTGTAAAGCCCAACAGGCTAAAAAAAAAATGCAACGGTCCCTTCACTTTGGAGACCAGGCTCTGTGTTGCCACCACAGAGAGGGTCTGAAGTGGAGACCCCGGAGCTGCCAGGTAATAGCTGATGCTCATTCAACCTCCACCAGTAACTCAGCACACAGGAAAGTTCCTAGTGGCTTCCCCCACCCCCACCCACACACAGCTAGAATTACTCCCCAGTGCTGAAAGTACAAGATACATCTGGCTATTCAGCAAGAAGCAGGGACTCTCTTTATTAGAGTTGTTATAAAAGTTTAAGTATCATCACACCCAGAGACCCCAGATAAAGGGAAACACAGACAGTGTGAAACTGGCATCTGTTCATTGCTAGTGCGCTGGCCCAGCAGGAACAACTCTGGGCTAGGTTCCCGAGCACGGGACAGGTCAGGAGGCACCTGGCGGTGGTGCTGCCATTTCTGCAATGTGGAGAGATGCAAAAGGGGCCTTGGGACACAGTACCTCAAGTGTCTAGAAAAGCACCTCCTAGCAGAAACTAGACTGAAGACATGCTCTTTGGATAAGTGAATGTGAAATACACAGGATGACACAGACTGCAAATCTATGACAAGACTGCAAACCCATTGTTGAGAGTATGAGAAAACTTCAGGCTTCACTTCTCAGACCTTTATTCTTCGAAGCAAAGTTCAGTCCTCTGTGTGTTATACTCTGTTAACCACAGAAGCCCAAAGTTCTTCCATAACTAATCTGAACCTGTGATTCCTTTCCTCTGCTCTTAGCAGCTCTCACAGCCCCTTCCCTCCTAGCAGAGCCATGGAGCAGGGCAGCAACCGCCTGGATGACTTCCCGCTCAATGTGTTTTCTGTCACCCCCTACACGCCCAGCACTGCCGACATCCAGGTGTCGGATGACGACAAGGCAGGGGCCACCTTGCTCTTCTCAGGCATCTTCCTGGGACTGGTGGGGATCACGTTCACCGTCATGGGCTGGATCAAATACCAAGGTATCTCCCACTTTGAATGGACCCAGCTCCTGGGACCCATCCTGCTGTCAGTGGGGGTGACGTTCATCCTGATAGCTGTGTGCAAGTTCAAAATGCTCTCCTGCCAGCTGTGCAAAGAGAGCGAGGAGCGGGTCCTGGATGCCGAGCAGATGGCGGGAGGACAGTCATTTGTCTTCACTGGTATCAACCAACCCATCACCTTCCATGGGGCCACTGTCGTGCAGTACATCCCTCCCCCTTATGGCTCTCAGGAGCCCACTGGAATGAACACCACCTACTTGCAGCCCATGGTGAACCCCTGTGGCCTCACACCGCCTGTAGGAGCCGCCGCCCCAAGCCCGCCTCAGTACTACACCATCTACCCCCTAGAGAATGCTGCCTTTGTCGACGACCAGGACTACTCTTCTCTCGTGGCTGGTAGAAGTATCAGGTACGGAGTGTGGGGTGAGGGACACCCCCCTTCCAGCCGCCCCAGTCACGTCCATGGCTGTACTTAGTCTACGGGGCAAGGGGTGGGCGAATCATGTCCCCGTGGGCCTCGGCCAGGGTGGCGGCATTGGCTGCGGGAGGCGCCTGGCCTGTAATGCAGCTTGTCTGCCGCTCCCGTTTCAGAGCTGGTCCTCATGCCGGGCAACTGGAGGAGACACCACCTTACGAGGACTCTGCCTGCTTCTCTCCTCCTCCCTATGAGGAAATAGACGTCCCCCCTCACCCTCGCTAGAGAGTGATGCCCGGGACAGCATCGCGGTCCTTGCTGCTGGTGACTGAAGGCTTCCAGGCCGGGAAGCCCAGGCGGCCTGACATGCCACCCCAGGGGAGGAGGTGGGAGGTCAAATGCCCCAGCTTGGTAAAAATTAGGCCGGGATGGGCAAATTCCTTCTCAGCACAGGGAGAAATCTCCTGCACGTTTCAGGAGTGAGATTCACCTCTTTGTTGACCATCTGCTCCTCCCCTGCTAGGAGGTGCTGGGCTCTCAATTTTGGCTCCAGCAGACCAGGGCAAATCACCCCCGTGTGACTTTAGGAGTTTCCGTTGTGGTGGGGGTGGGGGTGGGGAGAAGGAAGCAAGATGGAGAACTCAGGTTTCCCTGTCCTCAGATTCCAAAGGGGATTTTGCACATTCCAAACAAAGTGATTGTGATATGCTGTTCCTTGAGGAATCTGGGTATCCTGAAGGCTGCAGCCAGGCAGTAAATTAATAAATAAATAAAACAAAATGGAATAAAGTAAAATAAAGAATGTTTCCTTTTAGAATAATAATGGCTAAGCTATGTGAAGTAAACAGTAGGACAGTGACCCTTCTGTTGTCTCTGGGTCACAGCAACTCGGCTGCTGATGTTCTCTCCCCCAAGGGCAAAGCTGGAGGTGTCCGAGGCTGGGCTCAGTTGGCAGGAGCTGCCTGGCCCAGTGGCCAGCAGCACAGGCCAAGGAGCAACAGAGCTGCCTTGTCAACACCGGAACACATGGCTCATGGAAACACCCCCGTGTGAGACAGACTTACTTTCTTTATAAGCAAAACGTTGCTGCCCTTAATCTCTCTGAAGCTGGACTGTGTAATAAACAATCAAGACAGACTCACAGATTTTAGAAGAGACAGTCAACACCATCAGATTTAAATGAAAATATTTTCTTCGGTCTGCACAGGTAAGGGCATGCGGGTGAGGGTGTCTCATCCCGAAGGAAGACAGACTTTGGCAATCCTGTCAAGTTTCGTGTCATGTTTGCATATGAAGTATTTTTTTTTTTTTACTAATTTTTATCAGAAGTGCTTAATTTTCCAAGGATATGATTAAAATAAGCTTCGTGTATTATTGCTGTAATTTGTATTCTGTCTTGAGGCAAAATTTTTTTTTTAACATGAGAATTCATGTTCATGTTGATGATACAAGGTGCAGAAAAGCTGGTTTAGTTTACAGAATTCAGCTTTACACGCAACACATGGATGACATACTGACTCTTTGCTGAGGGGCATGGTCCTTGGGGGAAGCTTGGGGCAGGGTCACGGCTGACCACCACCAATGGCATGACAGACCGCACCGGCAGTCCTGCAGCCCGGACTCTGCATCTTTCCCTCTTCATCCTCATCCACCCCACAACTGAATATTCCTAACTATGGTTGCAAAGCTTTAGGAGTAGCTCAAAGGAGACAAGAAGTAGGGCAGGGAAAAAGAGATATGTGGCTATCTCTGTAGAGAGCTGGAGTGCAGTCTGTGTCCTGGGGGCCGGAAGGCCCCTATGGAGGGAAGTGGCCCTAGGGAGTTTTCAGCTCCCAACATCAGTCATTCAGCACCAGCTGCTCTGCTCTGAGACAGAGAAAAGGTGGAACACAGAGGCAATTTAGGCTACCGAAGTCAGTGAGCTTTAGGGGCTCAGGGTCGGAGAAAGGGGGGTTGGGGTTTGCTTATTCATTCAATATTGACTTATTGAGGCTCTACTCTGTGTAATGACCTGGGCCACCAAGTGGGACATAATAGCGAAAAAAACACACCAACAGAACAGAAGACACAGTTATGTGTCTAGTCTGAGAAGAGGGGCGAGAGAGAGACACTAATCAGTTGCTCTCTGACACCCATGGGGTTCCAGGGACTGAGAGGGGGATGCCCTCTTTCTGTCTTTATTTGGGAGCTGTAGGGGCCAACAAGCTGGCAAGTCCATTGGGTGGTCCCTGGACTCCAACCAACCAAGAGGCCCTTTGGCTTCCTTAACTAGCCAGGACACTTTCCTGCAGTTTCTTCTCCGTCATCCAGATATCTGCCTTTCTTTGTTCATTTTCCCAGTATCTCAGTAGGGGTGAGTGGAGGACTTTGATCTGGCCATTGTGAACCAGAGGCTGTTTCTGGCCTCAGGCATGCCAGCCACCTGGAGATTACAGCCTTGCCTTGGGAGTGTACGCAAAGGTTCAGTGTCAGCCAGAAACCAAGGGGCCTTGTCAAACATTTTAGCCTGTGTCTGCAGAACAACTGGAAAGCCACTGAAACATATTAATGAGGAAGGAGGTGTGATCTGATTCTGAACACTTACAGTTAGGGCCAAACCCAGAGGCACATAGGGTGTAGTACTGACTTTCGAATGCGGTTTGGATCTCAATGACCAGAACGCCAGGAGATACCCCTCTCGCTTCTTCAGCCTTTATGGGGCCGCTGAATGGCCTACTCTGATAATATGCATTGACTTGCAACTCAAGCTAAAAGTTTTTTTTTTTTTTTTTTTATCAAAGCAGACAGGGTTCTTTAGAACTTAGTTATCTGGAAACATCTCTCAGTTTAGCTGGAGAGAGCCCATTTAGCTGGAGAGGTTGATGGTGGCTGTTGATCTTGGTGGGGTAGAGAAGGGATCATCCAGGCCTGATAAATGAGAGCAGGGGCCTGGACCAAGGGGATGGGCTTTCTCTGAGCTCTCTTTCTTCCCTGAGGCCAGCAAAGGGTCTGCCTCTGAGGCAGAGTCCTGGGAGGGGTCTTCCTGGCAGAGCTGTCCCCAGAGGTGGCAGCCCCTCCCCTCCCCCTGCACTAAGTCCAGACTCTAAGTTTCAAAAGGTTAAGTGGCTCCCTGCCCCAAAGCCAGCCTTTTAGAGGCTCTCCCCACCGAAAAACATTTTTTTGGCAATAGCATAAAAATAAAGCTCCTTGTTTGTGAAGAGTTGCTGTGGGTATCTGTTTTCAGTTCTGACTTCCAGACTCCTAACTGGCCTTCTTTACTGTTAGGCTGTTGAGTAGGATGGAGCTGAGGCCCCTGCTTGGACGGTGTTTCTCCTCCCCCCTGCCCCCCCATTCTACAGAGGCTGCTTACAGCCACCGGGGTAGACGCTTTCTTACTCACCAAGAGCGGGGAGGTGCCTCACCGAGGCTGGGAGGGCCTAGTTCTCACAGCTGGCTCTGCTGTCTGCTGAACTCTGAACTCACACCACCCAGTGCACTCCACAGCCTCCATCAGAGCCCTCCTCACAAGGGCACTCAGCTCCTGCTCAATAACAAATGTGAAAAGAAAGAAACGAAGAGTGATGGCCACGATAAAACTCGTCTATTGTTTCTTAAATTCTGAAAATGTTCAGATGCAAACAAGAGCCTCTATGAAACCCCATGTTGCTGTGGCCCAACTTCAACCACCACGGCCCGTCTTGTGTCACTTATACCCCTGCGATAGGCCCCTCTTGGATTATTTTTTTCAATTCATTTCATTTGTATTGGGGTAATGTTGGTTTACATAGCTTGCATATTAGAAAGGGACAAAGAAAGAATATGTTCTCGAGGTCCTGGTTGCAGTGGCTGGCAGGAGCCCCGACTGGACTTTTAAAAGCAAATCACTTTATCCTAAAATATTTCATTATGTGTCTCCAAAAGATTAAAAAAAAAACCTACTGAGACACAAAAAAATAGACAATGATTTCATAGCAAATAGCTACTTCTTCCAATCTTCTCTATTTAATTTCTATCTCTTTGCTTGAATCAGGATATAAATGTGATTAGTTTTTTTTAATTGTGATTAGTTTTTTATTAAGTGGATCTCAAATTTCTAGCCAGATTATGCCATATTTTGGGAACAAGACACTTGGCACACTCTTCATGGCAGCTGATTCATGTTTATTAAATTTCACTTTCCAAACAAAAGTGTTTTTACACTTTACATGTCTGTTGGTTCCCTGAAACTCTACGATTCCCTTTCTCTTGGAATGAGAAACATTTTTTCTAAGCTCAGCATATTATTGGAGATATTTTTGAAACTTAGAGCCTAGAAAAAAATATATACATGAAAAGAAAAAGATATTTGAGTAAGAGTTTAGTTGAAAATACCTGTTGGAGAAGATTTTCAAGAGTATCAGACAATTCTGACAACCTCAGCATTTGTGACTTGGTCAGTAAATCTTTTTACAAAAAAAAGTTTTTTCCTTTCAGAGCCTATAAAAAGTCCTTTAAACATTTCAAAAATGGCAGACCAGAGTCCCCTTTTTAGAAGTAAAAAGCAAAGCCTCTTGCTCTCCATTAAAATACTGCCAGGTACAATTTAACTCTCGAAGTTGCTGACTAGCCACCATTTACCAAGGAGTTCTCAGTTCTCATATTAAAAACATATATATATATATATATTTTAACATACCTATAATACTTCCTTTAGGGTAGATACGTGTGTGTGTGTTCACTTACATTCTCTTATTACAGAATGTAATTTATGGATATCTTGCCCACTTACTACTTGTAAATCACCGAGAGTTTTATGTCCTAAGCAGTCAGCAGTTGGTTATAAAATCAACAGAGAGCTGTACTAAATAAACCTTGCTGGATTGCTCTTAAGAATTGATGACAAATCAGAAAGTGAAGACAACTCCATGGGAATGATTTTTACCTGCCTCTGGGATACCACAAAGTTCTCAGATATGGAAATTTTACTTGTCTTGAGCTTTTAGGAAGATTAATAACCAGATGAACTGGCAAAAAAATCATTTTTCTAGGTTCCAGAAGTTTTCTTATAACAAAGAATTTGTCCTCCAGCACTAAACCTACACATGTGTAAATCATAGACACACATGTGTGCTGGAATCTGCTCACACATAAGGGGCGGAGGATGAAGCTATGTGGGAAGATAGAGGTCTTCCTGTTCTAAGCCTCCTATTCATTAAAGAACACATTTTTTTTTTGAGGAGATATATAGATATACTTTAAAAAAATAATATATAAAAATATATCCTGGGCAATACATAAGAACTGGTAATAATCATTTCTGGAGTAGA